TCCAAACGGCTTCCGATACTATGGGGGAGAGTGCAGCAGAAGCATTCGAGCTCTGACGGACGTTAGCTTATTATCCCGATACCTTTGTTATTAAAATTTCAGCCATTATAAAAGTAATGCAGATCTCCTGATCGAGGATATCCATGTAGCAGGAGTTTGAGCAAAAAATATCCATGAATAAAACATTCGTCTTCAAAGAAAGGTTTTGAGTAATTTATGGTGTTTACAGAAAAACGGGATTGGGGATTGGCTTGGGTTTTAGAATTAGAAACTGGAAATACTCATTTTCCCTCAGTGACTGATACGTTTTCACAGTTCCAAAACAATTAAAAGCTGAATTCGGAAATACTTTCAGGAATTGTTTTGAGCTAGAACTTTTCCATTCGCAGTTTTCTAAAATTCTTTTGGCAATCTTATTTTATCACTAAAACCTTATACCACAATTTATAAGTCAATAACAACAGCAAATTTTTTTCATTGGTCGCAACGCTGAATTTCGCAGCAATGACAGTGTAAAATTGGGACGCCTTAAACTGAGCCGCATTTACGCCCAACCCTTCCAGAAACAACTGCGAAGAGTCAGTTTTGCGCATTGTTTCAGAAACTCTGTTGTTGCCGGTTTTTTTTTTTTTTTACCATTATCGTCTACTTTTATGCGTCCTGTTTTTACACCAGTCGACTTCAAAGTCTCAGAGGTTAAATAAGTCCAGGAGTATCACCGGTCATATCAATGCTAGTTAATGGCTGCAGTCTGTCTCCAATTTCCTTCCTAACGCTTCGAAACCAGATGAGTTATTAAACAAAGTTCGTCATACAGATAAGAACACTGAGGATAAAAATGAAGATACTTGTTAGAGATACCTCTATTGCCCTGCTGCAGCTCCCGTGCCTGAGAAACAAAACATGGAGCAAAGATAACTAAAGCAGTAACGATGAATACTCTCTTCATGGCTAAATTCCAAAAAAACTGAAAAATCATCTTAGCCTAATGAGTTTTGTTTTAAACACAGATGTTGTAGTCTGTTCCTTCGACTTGACGTTTGTAATTTATTCGAATTTATCCGTACGTCACGTAGTAGCTCACTTTCGATATCAGTCGATCACTCAATCATCTTTTGTTTCTCCAACAACCATTATACCCTGAGTGGTTATTTGGACATCAAAGATCTAACATGGTTATGAGTCTTATATGATGGATATGATGGCTCAGTCAATTCCAGTTTTTTGAAAGGAGGACTTCTTGTCCCTAAACTTGACTAAAGTTCTTCCTTCTTAGGAAATCCCGCGCTTTATGTTGAATTAATATATCCGTTTTCTGAAAGTAGGACATCTTGTGTGTATTTAGGATCATTATCAGCGGCAGCGGCAGTTGTACCCCTGAATAGGCCTCGTTCACATTGAGGTCGCTTTTGGAAATTAGACGATCTGAGATCTGTTTAGCCCGTGACATTTTTTTTTTGTTTGAAATGGATCCTAGAGACCCCAGACCATCTCAGAGACCCAGATCTCTTATTGACGTAGCCTGTGCCAGGCTCTCAGATAGTATAGTGGGAAGGTATTAAAACGAGCAAAGCGAAAATAAGACGCGCACGACTTGGGAAAGGGGGCGGTGTCTCTCCAGCCCCCGCGCGTTTTTCGCATTTTTTTTTCTGAATTCACCACTATTTCGGAGCTTTGAACAGGCTATTATTGACGAAGCCAAAGATCTGGTCAAATCTGATTATTGCCTGTCAGGAATGTGACAGGCGATGAAAGAGCGAATGCTCGAAATAAATCCTCAATTTTCGACGTGTTAAACAACGAATTTGATAGAGCCGTGAAGTTTTTTTTCTAACAAAACGCGGTTAGACGCACATCTTAAGTATGAACCAACTAATTTTTCGTTTTTTCTGTTCTTTTTAACATCAAAATCAACGTGACAGTTTGAATTTCATCATCATTGCGCGCACTAAAACCTCAAAGCAGTACGCGTCAACTTCTACGCGAGAATTTTTTACCCTCTTCAAAGTCTTTATTGACACGGAGAGAGACTTTTAAAATGTGTTAAGAGATATAGATAAAAGTAGTTTTCCAAGTTTTATTGAGACGGAAAACTATTCCTTAGTGAACAGAACCAAAGACTTTGCAAAGAATGAATTGCGCACGCCACAGCGTATGTTTATTTGGCCAGTTACTAATAAAACGAGAAACTAGGCAAAATGAGCCAAAACGACCTAAATGATCCACAACGATCAAAACTAATAGACAAAAGATCCACAAAGACCCAAAACAAGTTCCACCCTCCTAGGAACGTCGGTTAAAAATGATTAAATAATAAATATTTCACTGCTTTTTCATACCCGGAGCAAAGGATGATCTGTATGGTCTTTTTATACAAAAAGACTTCAAAACAAAAGGATAACAGGCGAAATCTGGGCGTTGCATGCATTTTTCTATCAACATGGCTGGAAATAGAGTTCACAAAAGTAGACTAAGTGAAGAATAGAGTCCTGAGGTCAGTCTCACTCTCTACTAATCACTAACCAGCTCCGAGATCCTCGATCCCCAATTACAAGGAGATTTGGATTAGATTAATCGTAGGACAAAACTTTAAATTGCAATGTCGGTGTTTCGCTACGTTTTTTTGCGGTGATGCGGTGTTTGTTATTTTTTTCTGCGGTGTTGCGGTGTAGACGGTCCCCCAATGTCCCCCTCCCTATACCATAAACCCTTACGGAACTGTAATACATTTCTTCCCGCAATTTTGTAAACCGAAAAAGAAAACAAACTTGTTATGCCTTCTAACAACGTCTTTCAATATAGCAAGATTCGAACACGAAAACGAAGTGCGAAGAAAAGCATTAAAACCGGAAAAAAAAATGGAATCCAGCTCTTTTTGGAATCCGGAATCCACTGTGCTGGAATCCGGAGTCCAGTACCCGGAATCCGGAATCCACAGTATGGAATCCAGAATCCAAGACTGTCCTGAATTCCCTTACATGGGGCGATTTCTGCCGATTTCACCAATGTAAGAAGCCTGGCAGTCGCGGCATTTGATCTTGTATACTGCTCCCTGTCTGTCCTCCGGTTTGTCTTTGTCCTTGACATCAGTAAGCAGTCGCCGTAAAGTGGTTATCGGTTTGTGTGCAACACGTATATTGTAAGGTTGTAATATACATGTAATATACGGTATAGTCGCTGTCGTAACAGGGCCAGAGTTGATCTGAGTGTTGGAATCAGTGTTACTGTGAGTGTTCCGTCTAACAAAGTCCGTTTTGTAACACAGCTTACAATATAGGTGCTGCACACAAACCGATAACCACTTTTCTTTCTCCGTTTCTTGAGCACTCGGAATATATGTCGGCGTTTAAGCCGTTTTTGCAATATTTTGCTGCAGGATCTGACACCGCTTCATGTCAAGATCATGAGGAGAAAGAATTTGTTGAGTGTTTCTCGGAGGAAACTCAAATTATCGACATATTTACACACTGTAAGTTACAACCACATAAGCTTTCTCAATCGCTCGCAACTCGTCTGAGTTCTTGCTAGTTCTGGTTTCTATTCCATAACATGAAGAATGATAAGTAGTAAAATTCATTTTCGCAAACAGCCTCCATTCAGAGGAAACTTTTTCCCTTTTCGGTGTGATATCTTTTGTTTCTTTCAATTTATACTAGCTTCTTGGCAATTCAGTCGTCCACAGCTCCCGTGTTTTCATACATCAAATAAATAAACAACCTGAAAACCGTTACCTAAACTATAGAGAATGTTTCGGCTATTTCACTCAGCTCGCAGAGACCTCGTTGTTTTAACAATGTAATCCTTCATCTTAATAAAATAATTTAAAAAGCCGTCGTCGTTCGAAATTATTCGCCCTTCATTCAGCGATGAGGGAACCTTCTCTGTCAGAGCCGTGGAAAACCATAGAAACAGTTGATTGACGTCCACGAAAACTCAGGTTAAAACAGACAGAAAAAAAACCTTTCAAAGGCGCGTGTTAGTGGTAACAGCTGTAAACTGCTTTAATACTCTTTTTAACATTTGCGCTGTTAACAGTTTTCTGATCGTTTGTTGTTTTTTTTTTCTTATTGCAGCGCCCGGTCTAAATTGATTTTCGCACGACAGTTGACCCTAAAAAAGCGAAGATTTAAAAGAGCTGTTTAACTTGAAACAGTTATCGGCGCCCGAATTTAGTAAAACGGAGCGGGTAACCATCGTTAAAAGCGAAGTATACTCACTAGCTCTCCTCTTCAAAACTATTTGTGCAATTTCATAGCTGAAAAACCTCGATAATACATGCTCAAAAAGCGGCTTAAGCTTAAAATTTATTCAGAGGCACCTAACGACGGTTTCCTCCTAAATACATTGAAACACTTTTTTGGCTCTCCAGAGTACTTTTAGATCTCTATAGAGATGCATTCTAAGCGGCGCTATAGAATTTGTATCTGTTCGGTCATCTTAGGGGAACTTGAGTCGTTTCGAAATTACAAGGTCTTCTGAGTATTAGTTTTCAGAAAACTTCCTCTCTCCATCGCATTTAAAGGGAAATGCAATTTGAAAAATTGAACTTCAGACAATCGAAGGGAATTTATTTTATAAGCTTCGAAAAATGTACATGAATGGAACGATCATCTAGAAATTTTTAGCCTCCCTCAATTAATAGAAAATTGTAGGCAATATTTGGCTCTCCGAACAGATATTTTACTCAAAACAGTCGTTGGATACCCCTGCTTTTTGTTGATTTTCATGAAAACAAACAATATTGTCGGTACCTGATGGACATCCCAAGAGTTCCATCCTCATAGAAATATGACCGTGCCACGTCTTAGGGTGTACCCGTATGTAGCGTGCATTTATGGAAGGGTGCAAAACGTTCAAAACCACGGTGTTGCGGTCCGTGTTTCCATTAAAGACCTGCAGCGGGAAAATAAAGTGTTAAGGTTACACTAATAAGGGACTTGTGGAGGCTAATACGGGTCTGAGGTTTTGAGACATTTTCATGTTACCGTGTTGAGGTTCGATTATTTAATTGCTTGAGTTTCTCTTGCTACGATTTTCATTGGTTTCCATACCTTGCTGTTCTGATAAGATGTATAGGTGGTGCCGTCGCTGCTGTAGGAAATAGTAAAGTTCGTAACCCATTGATCGTCTTCTTGTCTTCCCTGGATTTCTATTCCTGTCACTTCGGTTTTGCCTTCAAAATCGACTTGTAGCCACTGATGGACGTCATTTTGACGAGCGGACCATGCGCCAGTCTTACCTCCTCCATGCTTGAAATTGAGTCTGCCATTGGTGGCGCCGGCTCCAGCGTTGTACTCGGTTGACGCTGTGATCTGGCGATCGGTTATTTTTTTGGTCTCCATCCCGAGCGGGTCGAAACATGCTTTACAAAGAATATTGCACGATTAGTGCGTGCTATTAAATTGATTACGTGATTCTAAAACAGCTTATTTTTATTTAAATCAGCTTATTTTAAGTCGGAGGGAACCTTTTTCAGGGGCACCCTCGACAGTTTCCTCCTAAATAAACTGAAACACATTTTAGGCTTTCCAGAGTACTTTTAGATCTCTAGAGATGCATTCTAAGCGGCGCTATAGAATTTGTATCTGTTCGGTCATCCTAGGGGAACTTGAGTGGTTTCGAAACTACAAGGGATTCAGTATTATTTTTCCGAACACTTTACATGCATTTTAGCATATTACGAATGTTAGAATTTTTCTGATTCCTCTCTCCATCGCATTTAAAGGGGAGTGCAATTTGAAAAATTGAACTTCAGACAATCGTAGGGAATTTATGTGATATGCTTCGTAAATTGTACATGAATGGAACGATCATCTCGAAATTTTTAGCCTTCCTCAAGTAATAGAAGATTGTAGGCAATATTTGGCTCTCCGAACAGATATTTTACTCAAAACAGTCGTTGGATGCCCCTGCTTTTTGTTGATTTTCACGAAAACAAACAATATTGTCGGTACCTGATGGACATCCCAAGAGTTCCATCCTCATAGAAATATGGCCATGCCACGTCTTAGGGTGCACCCGTATGTAGCGTGCATTTATGGAAGGGTGCAAAACGTTCAAAACCACGGTGTTGCGGTCCGTGTTTCCATTAAAGACCTGTAGCGGGAAAATAAAGTGTTAAGGTTACACTAATAAGGGACTTGTGGAGGCTAATATGGCTCTGAGGTTTTGAGACATTTTCATGTTACCGTGTCGAAATTCGATTATATAATTGCCTGAGTTTCTCTTGCTACGATTTTCATTGGTTTCCATACCTTGCTGTTCTGATAAGATGTATAGGTGGTGCCGTCGCTGCTGTAGGAAATAGTAAAGTTCGTAACCCATTGATCGTCTTCTTGTCTTCCCTGGATTTTTATTCCTGTCACTTCGGTTTTGCCTTCAAGATCGACTTGTAGCCACTGATGGACGTCATTTTGACGAGCGGACCATGCGCCAGTCTTACCTCCTCCAGGCTTGAAATTGAGTCTGCCATTGGTGGCGCCGGTTCCAGCGTTGTACTCGGTTGACGCTGTGATCTGGCGATCGGTTATTTTTTTGGTCTCCATCCCGAGCGGGCCGTAACATGCTTTACAAAGAATATTGCACGATTAGTGCGTGCTATTAAATTGATTACGTGATTCTAAAACAGCTTATTTGGGCCTGTGATTTTGTGATACACGTGGTAGGAAAAGTGAACTGCTGTTGAGTGAGTATGGGAGTAAACAGTTTACCGCTTTTGTGCAAGTCGGAGGGAACCTTTTTCAGGGGCACCCACGACGGTTTCCTCCTAAATAGCTTGAAACACTTTTTTCGCTTTCCAGAGTACTTTAGATCACTAGAGATGCATTCTAAGCGGCGCTATAGAATTTGTATCTGTTCGGTCATCCCAGGAGAACTTGAGTCGTTTCGAATTTACAGGGGCTTCAGTATTTTTTTTCGAAAGCTTTACATGCATTTTAACATATTACGAATGTTAGAATTTTTCTGATTCCTCTCTCCATCACATTTAAAGGGGAGTGCAATTTGAAAAATTGAACTTCAGACAATCGTAGAAATTTATTACATAAACTTCGAAAATTTACATAAATGGAACGGTCATCTACAAGTAGGAAGTTTTAGCCTTTCACAAGTAATAGAAAATTGTACTGAAAACAGTCGTTGGTGTCCCAGTTTATTTCCACTTTTTCTCTACCATTTTGTGTTAGTGATCTAGTAGCTTCTGAATTTGGCGATTTTATTTGCGATGGTGACATACAACTGTATGGTAAGGTCTTTTTCTTTTGCTTTATATATAATAATCACAAACAAATGAAAAATTATATCCGGCACGAGTCTGTTTCTGTCGTCTTTATAATAATAGTCTGATGCCTTCACACAATTTATTGTTAGCTAACGCTTTTGTTAAATTTGTTAATCTTAGTCAGTAAAAGGAGAGTATAAATAAGTTGCTGCGTTTACGGTCTTAAGGAATTCGATGTCTTAAAATCCGAAAACCTTCTTACGGTCTTTCAAGAAGTGGTGAGGATGGTCTATTCACTGTCTATTGCAATTTACATTATCGGCACAAAACTGAATTATTGCCGAGTTTACCACTTCAGTATTTGACTGCGCGATATTGAAAGGGGCCGCAAGGTAAAATTTTTACATCTCGTTTTACTATA